GATACAATGTTCTAAAAACTGGGAACTGTCAACAAATCTTATGACATCCTTTTGTTCTGCTCCTGTTTCTTTCTGGTATTAGCAAAGGATTTACACAGGACGGGAAGGCATAGAAAGAAAGGGGAGGATGGACAGGGTCTTAGCTAACTTGATATGTAGCCTGCCATAATGCCCCTAGCTCTTTTCTTGAGAAAAGCATAATTTCCCCAGGTGAGCACGATGACTCTACGTAACGATATTTGAAAAAGAACAACACTGGTATACTTAAAATAATTCTGACAATACGTCAAATCTTGGCCATGTACATCTCCCATCTGCCTTAGTGGCCAGGCTTGTGGTCTCCTGTCCATGTTTAAACTGTTCAAGGTATAACCTCGGGCCAGGGCCTGAGACAGATTTCAAGACGACAGCATTTGTGGGGTGCTACCGTGCATGTGTGGAGTGCATAGATGTAAGGTGTACTGAAGTTAGCAAAATCTTCTATTCAAGCCAGCTTTTCTTTGGGCTTTAGCCAAAGTTGAGAATGTACTATATTAAAAAGCCTTTCATTAATCTCTAACGTTAAGAGCGAGTTCTCAGTGGAAAGATATATTAATTCTAGAAGAATTAACACGACTAAAAACCACATATTACTTTGACATCTGCATACAATACTAAAACCAGTAAAGACTTTACAATATTTTTTTGTTTTCTTTCTCTTCATTTTTCTTTCCTCCTCCTCCTCCATGTCTTCCTCCTCCTTCTCCTCCTCCTCCTCCTCCTCCTCCTCCTCCTCCTCCTCCTCCTTCTCCTCCTCCTCCTCCTCCTTCTCCTCCTTCTCCTCTACCTCCTTCTCTACCTACCACAGTATTTTACTGTGTTCATGTCTCTGGACGACCTGGAACTCACTATGCAAAACATACTGGCTTCAAACTCATAGCTATCTGCCTACCTCTGCTTTTCTAAGTGCTGGTTTAAAGGCATGTGTCATCATGCCTAGCTTACATCATTTTTTTTTAACTTAAGGAATTTTGTTGTCAGTTGGGCTTGAATGGGCACAATAGTGACAGTTTGTAAGACTGGCAGAATATTGAAAAAAAAAAAAACCCTAGCATTTACAATCCAAAGCAAATTCTCTAGGTGTGAATTTCCTCCAATGTTTAATAAACATTAGAATACCCACACACTGGAGTTGCTAGAGTAGTGAGTGTAATACCAAGTAAAGCACACACAAGTTAAGGGTAACTTCCCTCTTCACTGACTGTCACTGGGTATTTGGTAACTTTTGAGGAACTGGAGAGATCGTCAGAGGGAGAGAGGGAGGTAAAGAAGGGTGTGAAAGAGAGAAGAATGAAGACAACCATAAAATAGTCGTAAAATAGACTCCAGTGGCCCATTCTCAGAAGGAGAGTTCTAAGCGATAACATTAATATGGATCCATTTGGAGATAAGAACTCTGAGAAAACTGAGCTGAAAAAGCACCATAGGGTTTTTTGTTTGTTTGTTTGTTTGTTTGTTTTTTGCATCAGTAGGCTTCAGTTCTCGTCTATAAAAAGCAGGTAGCACTGATACTTAGGCCGAGGAGTCCTCCTGTGATTCTGACTGTGTGGCATAATAAACAATGTATTTCCCCTCTTTGCTGGAATTTTTGGAATGACTGGATTACCTTTTGTCTTATACCACAGTGAAATCTGCTTCCAAAGGTGATATGTGCTGAGTCCTTGGGCAATTTGAAGAAACATGCATGGCACTCGTGTCTCAGTGACTAAGAACATGACTAACACATTGGAAGTATCAACCACGCCCTCCTGATATTTCGTCCAATCTCATGTTCCAAAACTGAATCCTGGAACTAATCCCTGGGGTGGGGTGGGAGGGTATGTGAGGGATGACCTCATAGACCTCTCCTGGGCCTTGTGACTCATTCTAATGAATCAGAAGATCTGAAGAGTGTGATAGTTAACGATCAGGTCGATACTATCACCTGGAACCAGAATCCTGAACCATAGAACAGGAAGCCAGGTGAGCACTGACATACATGCACTAATTCACTGCTCTCCACTATTTCTTCTAAAAACGAATTTTATGTGTATAGGTGTTTTGCATATGTGTGTGTGTGTGTGTGTGTGTGTATGCGCGTGTGTGCCAGGTGCATGCCTGGTGCCTGTAGAAGCCAAAAGAGGTCTCCCAATCTCTTGGAAGTGTATTTGGTTTTTTGAGACAGGGTTAGCCCTGGCTGTCCTGGAACTTACTCTGTAGACCAGGTTGGCCTCGAACTCAGAAATCTGCCTCCCTCTGCCTCCCAAGTGCTGGGATTAAAGGCGTGCACCACCACGGGCCCGGCCAACCAGTACACTTAACTGCTGAGCCATTATGCAGCCCTGGTCTCTCTCTACTCATGACCGGACTGTAAAGGAATTGGCTGCTTCAAATCCCTGCCGCCTTTACATTTCCAAAATGAAGGACTGTGGCCCTGAATTGTGGGCTTAAATAAACCCTTTCTCTCCCGAATTGCTTCCTTTAGGGTGTTTTCATCCAGAAACAGAAAGGAAAACTGAGACAGAGGGAGTCCTACGTGCACCCAAGCATACAGCTGATGTCCTAGATTCCTTTGTGTTTAAAACTGGGCTGTTTTAGAAAACTACAGAGGTTTATCTAGCGCACAGCTTTGAAATCTAAAGACCGAAGATCAGGTAGCCACAACTGGCCAGCCTCGGAATGAGCTTACTAGCTGAGTCATAACGTGGCTGACAGCATCCCAGTGAGAGCATCAACTAGCTTGTATGGAAGAGATCATAACGCAAGAGAGGAGGCAAGCAACAAGCTGAGGCAGCCACGCCATTCTTCTTAAAGCCCGCTCCCTTGGTAGAATGAAGTTCTCCAAGCTCATTACGACACCCTTCTTCAGGTTTCCTCTTTAAATTGACACCAACAGAGGCTGTCTGGTAGTATCAATGCTGTACGGACATGGGTGGTACTGAGGAGAATCGTTTGCATAGGGTGAAGCGTCTCTACTGAGAGTAGGGTAAAAGAACGTGAAGGCGAGACTCTATGAGGAAGAAAAATGCAGAACCAAAGACATTTTGTTTTGAAGGCCGAAGAATCAGTATCCTGTTTATATTTTGATGGAGGTGAGCCAGCAGAGTGAAACAAAGTTAAAATCTCAGAGGCAAATGACAACGGCTGCCCACATTGCCTTCAGTCAGAGGGAAAGGGTGAGGATTCAGAGTGCTACGAAAAGATGAGGCTCATCTAGGGGTCTAGATAGTTCACCTCTAGAGACGAGAAACCTGTTTATTATGGGTTGGATAGGAAACGCCGAAAGTCCATGCTTGAACAATGTGGTTCCCAGCTGGTGGTCGCGTGGAGAGGTAAGCAGTCACAGTGACACTGACTTCATGGATGGATGATGTCATTAGAGGCGCGGCTTTGAAGGGTATATCTTGTCCCCAATCTTTCTCCTTGCCTCATGCTACGTTAGCAGATCTGGTGATGCAGACATGTTGAGTGTTATTATTATGGTGAGGATTTTAAACATCCTCTGACCGCCCATATACTAAAAGCTTGGTTGTCAGTCTACAGTGCTGGTAGGTGATTGAACCTTAACCAGATGGGGCCTAATGGAAAGAAATCAGATCCCTCGAAGGGAATTTTGGTACTCTATTCCTCCCCCGTCCTCCACCCCCCACCTTCCCCCCTACCTCTTCCCTCCGCCTTCCGTCTGCCATGAACCACATATTCCTACTATGATACTTTGGCTTCTCACAGACCTCAAAAGACATTGAGGTCAAGCAACCATGGAATGAAGCTCCGAGGTTGTGAACCAAACCACCTCTCCTTCCTTTGGAGCTGCTCTGTTGAGCATTTTGTCAGAAAGCTAACACAATCACACATAGCGATTTCCTGTGCTGGCACAAGTCTCAGATTGCTTCCTCTGCTCTAGAAAGTCATAAAGTACCCTGTATCAATCTCTTCCCTCTGATGCTTAGCACGGTGGCATAGAGACCCGTTTAGGTGTGTAGTCTGATAAAACCGTAGTGGTTAGAATGAAGAGACTTCAGAAAGTTGGCTCCAACAGTTCTATGTTTGCCAGCTTTTACAATTTTTACGGGAATTCACACAGTAGGTTCTGAATGCCTAGGCACTATTGCTGCTGATCGCCAGGGGGCGCTCTTCCAAAGAGGAAGATCTGAGGGCTTTGAGACAGCAACTTGTTATTCAGTGGATGGTTATTATACAATCTCCGACTTCATTTTCCTACCTCTTTTGTCAGTAGCATCCGTACCGTTCTTGCGGTGGGTCATTACAACAAAAACGGCAGAATATTTCAATACATCAGCCAGTGTTTCCTAAACTTCATGTTGCAAGCTCCTTGAAGCACTGTGAGGAAGGAAAAGGAGACTGTAGTAAAACCAAGTGGCACTAAGGCAGGGGTTGCCTTCTGGAGCAAGGACGAGCAGGGTTTATATTTCCCCCTGGTTTGGCCTGTTTGTTGTGATTTTCTTTTTGTGTACACGTTTTCTTCCGTTTAAATTTATTCAGCAAAGACATGTTCCTCGATAAGTACGTATTTCTTTCCGGACGGGACAAAGAGAAACTTTACAAGATGTAACGAAAACCTCTAGGATTCATCGCGGCCAAGAGGCCGCCCGTCCCGGAGCAGCAGAAGGGTGGCGGCTTTCCCGGAATCCAGCCGCTGTCCCCCGCCCTCATTTTCATGGCTGGTCTCCTGGGTCCTGTCCCAAGACCAGGACTGACAGAACGGTTCGTAACAAGAGGACAGCGGGGGGCGGAGCGCAGGGTGACGGGGCAGGGCAGCGGCTGGGGACAGGGGCAGCCCAGGTCTCGCAGGGGCATCCCTGGGGAGCGGCTCCCTGCGTCACAGGGGACCCGCCCTGCGACGGCGTGTTGCAAGCTCCGGGCAGCCGTCGTGGAGCCAGATTTCCGTGCTTGTGAAAGAAGACGGCAGCGGCGACGTCCCTGGGGTGGGACGTTCTCCGCGTGGGGTCCGGGGCTAGGCGATGGCGGGCCGGTGCGGGGCCCGTGGCGCGCTGTCGCCACACTCGCTGCTCTTCGACTTGCCGCCCACGCTGCTGGGCGAGCTGTGTGGGATCCTGGATAGCTGCGATGGCCCGCTGGGCTGGCGGGGCCTGGGTGAGTGCGACTCAGTCCTGCCTGTCCTCCCCCCGCGAGGGACTCTACTAAACCAGGGACCTGCCACTCACTCCCCTTCCCTCTCTGACACTTGGGTACTGTCATATCAAGTTAGGGAATTGGGAAAGTCACATGTCAAGAAAGCAGTCCATGCAGGTAAGAGATTCTCGCTGCACTCGGTTTGCAGTGTGTGCATAAATATGCAAATATTATCGTATATGAGGGATGCCTACTGGCTCTACAACCTCCACACCAGATTTTTTAATATTAAAACCTTTTTTTTTTTTTGAGAAGCCGCTCAGTTGTTAGAGTGCTTGCTTACCTATGGACATATGAAGCTGCGTGCTCGATTCCCTAGCTTGGAATAAAACAGACCCTGGTGGTGCCAGCCACTGAGAGGTAGAAGTAGGAGGGTCAGAAGTTCAAGGCCTCTTCATGTAGAGAGTTCCAACTTGGCTTGCGCAACTTGGGACATCCGTCTCAAAAAGCAAACTTACTTTCTTTCTTTCTTTCTTTCTTTCTTTCTTTCTTTCTTTCTTTCTTTCTTTCTTTCTTTCTTTCCTCTTCCTTCCTTCCTTCCTTCCTTCCTTCCTTCCTTCCTTCCTTCCTTCCTTCCTTTCTTTCTTTCTTTCTTTCTTTCTTTCTTTCTTTCTTTCTTTCTTTTCTTTCTGAACTTTAAGATATCCATTCTTTGGTGTGTGTGTGTGTGTACACCACACTCACTCCTGTAGCACCTAGAGGACAACTTTGAGAAATCAGTTCTCTCCTTCCACCACGGGATCCTGGGACAGAACTCAGACTGTCAGGCATGCATGACCCACTTCGGTGTTTCCAATAAGTTTCCAAATAATCTACAAGGGAAATACTACTGTTGGCCATGGATGTGATTCCCACTTTTCTTAATTAAATATATCTTGCTTATTTGCCAAATCTACCACAATGAAATTGTAAAGACAGACTCTTTTTTTAAATTAATCTAGAAAGTTATCTTCAGAAATCCATCTTATGCAGATTTAGCAACTACATATTGTAAAGTTGTGATATATCAACAAAAAAAGCTCAGACGAAAGTCAATGCTTTGCTAAAAACATATGTTCTCTTTGGGGTTAGATGATAACTCAGGCTGTCACAGTTAATGTTAATTGAACATAAACATGAGTATCTTTAAACAGCTTTATCTGAAATAGTGATTTTTTTTCCTACCATGAATAGCAAGCTGTATGAACAGAATATTTCTTTGTGGCTGATAAACAATATGTTCACATTTTTCTGAAACTGTAACAGTTATGTAGAAATGGTTTGGGGAATAGGCTAAGTGGATTGTTCAGTGGTAAACTGCTTTCTTCAAATGAGGAAAGTCCTTGGTTCCATCCCTGGTACCTAAACAATTTATTCAGTGAACATCTCAGAAAAGGATACTTGACTCTGACTTCAGGAAGACAAAGCTATTTCCAGCCTACATTAGAGAGAGAAGATCCTTCCCCTATCAGATTGTGCCCTAGCTAAGCTAGATCATGGCATAGCAAGTATTTGTATCTATAGACTTACTAAGATTATTGCATTTTAAAAAACAATATTTTTGGTGCAATGCTCAAGTGCAGATGGGGCAGATTGTGTCGTAGATGGATGAAGCTAGTCGGTGAGGGTCATGAATATGAAAGCGCATGTGTCATCTTTAAAGGGAGCCATCAGCACTCAGGCCATGGTCCCTGCTGCTTTTCAGGAAGACCAGCTCAGATAACTGGCCTCTTATCTCTCTCCTCTTGTCTTTCTCTATAACACTAAATTATACATAGTTATGCTTCATAACTCCCTCCACTCACTTGTGAGTCAGATATTGAAATCATTGCAAGCGATTCTACAGATAATGGCAACTGAGTTACAAACTGTTTAAGTAACTTTGCAGTTCATACAGTCGGAAGTGGCGGAGCCGGGACTTGAACTAAGGAAGTCTGTATCCAAGGCTCATGCTCTTAACCACAAGCCACGCTGCACACCTCCCCCAACTGCTATTTGCTTTTCTGGTGTATCTCACAGCCCCCTAAAACTGTAGCATTTCTGACCTGGAAAAAAAAAAACCAACCAATTCAATGTGCTGTTTACACACACACTGCTCTATTTTGCCCTTGTGGAAATAAATGGAGATAATTTACACAAATACATGCCAGGAAGATGAAGGTGGTCTGGGCAGCTAGGTGCATTTAGCCGCAATTTTAAATTGGGAGATAAAATTGGAGGCTTTAGGTTATGCCTGATGCACCAGAAAGGTAGCAAGCAGCGTAACTAAAAGGAAGGCATCTCGTGTGATTGTTTAGGCATACAGTGGCTTTCTCCAGTTGGAATAAAACATCTAGGCAGGTATAGGTTCCCAATCAAGTTTTGGCAGTATAGAGCATATGGCCACAGGCTCCCTGGACTCAGTGTCACAGGTAATTTTGGGATGCTTACTGGAGATAGCAGGTTGGTTTCTTAGGTTTGAATTGATACATGCTTCGGACCAAAATTCTATCTCTATGGAGTATGTATATTATGCCTTTGCAGATTGATTCTCCTGGGGCAGGCTTTACGATGTTTACTCCTGAGGTAGCTGTAACTGTCTGTGCAAGGGAGTGACGGTCTGGGCACCTCACATGCCTTGTTCCGACGAGGACTAAAAGGACGTGCTGGAAGGGCAAGTTAGGTCTCTGAGACAACAGGGAAGAAAGACGGAGGACTGATCCATGAAGCTGTTCTGAGATCTGAGAGTAGCTGAGCAAATCCTTATATGGAAGGCTCTGAGTTTGATTCCCTAGTCTATGTGCCTGTAAAGGTGCATCGCAAGAAAGCGCATGCGCACGCGCGCACACACGGGTGGGCTGTCCTATGCACAAAGCAAGTGAGAATCTGAAGATATAGAGGGCCTCCGATTTCAAATGGAAAATAATTATAATAGTGATGGGGACACTGTCCTAGGCTGATCATGATTTCTGAGGACGGTGACGGCATGACTGGATTACATTAGCTAAGACAGTTCAGACACAGGCCGGTCGCATAGCTGCTTCTGTGATGGGTTTAGTAAGTGTGTGTGTGGGATCAAGCAGCCTGCTTGTTCACATGCTAGAATCACCCACGCAAGACTTTGAACATACAAATGCTTATGTCTCTCTCTCGGAGCAGCTGATTCATAAGTGTGGGCGGAAAGCCTAACGCATGGCATAGGCCAGATTCCTCAAAGCACTTTCGTGAAGTATTGTTAGCAAGCTTAGTAGAATTTCGAGGTAATATCTGGTTGATGGTGATGACTGCTTGCTTCGCAGTCATAGTGACTTCATAACGGACACACAGAGCCTCTGGTGGCCATTCATTTACTACATCACCATAGACTGTGAGTTAAAATAAATGGAGACCATTCACACAGGCAAATCTCTCCACACTTAAGATATTCCAGGAAAACTCGTGTTGTTATTGTGTTATAGATTCTGTGCAAGACTGTATCCAATTTTCTTTCTATTTTAAAATGGAATAAGTAGCAGGAGAGATGTCTCAGTGGCTGAGAGTATGTACTGCTCTTCCAGAGGACCTGGGTTCTGTTCCTAGTACCCATGCCAGGCGGCTCACAACCACCTGTAACGATCTGAAGCCCCCTGTCTCTGTTCTCCCTGAGTACCTGTGCTCGAGTGTACATACATGTACACATAATTAATATTATAAGACCCCATTTCTCATATTTAAATAATCTCCTTTACTATGGCATGTCAGGTACAGTTATTTCCCTTTAAGAGGTTACTATTTTGTGTTACAAATTTTATTTAAAATGTATTATACTTTTATTGAAACATTATCATTAAGTCATACCTCTGCTTTCTTTATACAAAACTATCAAATTTCTGCTGGAAATATTTTGGATATGTTTGTTTACCAGTTTGTTTTAACTTAATATATGACTTCCTTACCAGAAAGACCTGCACTGTGAACTGCAGCTCCCACAAGTTGTACTCCTGGTTGTTGTCATGAATAAGCTGCATTTAAAACAAAAAAAAACTTTTTGCCGGGCAGTGGTGGCGCACACCTTTAATCCCAGCACTCGGGAGGCAGAGGCAGGCAGATTTCTGAGTTCAAGGCCAGCCTGGTCTACAGAGTGAGTTCCAGGACAGCTAGGGCTACACAGAGAAACTCTGTCTCGAAAAACCAAAACAACAACAACAAAAAAAAAAGAACCAAAACCAAAACCGAAAACTTTTTTAAAGTAAATAAATTATGCAAACTAGTCATTTCAAAATCAATCACATTTGAATAAACCGTGCATTTGAATATCTAATAAAGGTCTTCAGTGAGAACAGTGATACTAACAGCTACCACTTAAAAGTACTTGCTGTTGCCTGTCTCATATACCTACTGTAAAAATCCAGACCCCATTCCCATTTTATTGACAGGTGAAATGGATTTGCTGGGGAGTCGATAAGTGACTTGCCTCGAGGTAACTTAGCGAACAGCAGAGGAAGACGCTGGTGAGACGGTCACACTTCTGAACTCATCTTTTTCTTTTAGTTTCAAAACCTGAACGGTTTCACCTTCTAAGACAGCTTTCTGCTTGTGGTTAGAGTACAAAAGATGATAAAGAGTCCTCACATATCCTCTGCCTAGAAGTTTTACCATGAAATCTGGATCTAGAATCTCCTATCATCGACATTTCACACACGAGCGTGGTGCATGTGTTACCATCCTGACACGTAGTCATTGGATTGAAGTCCATATTCTGTTCACACTTCTTCCATTTTCCCCAGACTCCTGTCTCTTGGATTCCACCCCAATCACCACACTGAGTTACCATGTCACATTTCCATATGTTCTCCATCTCCTTTGGACTGCCTCATCTCAGGCTTGTTTTCTATGACCTTGACAGTTTTGAGGTGTGCTTAGTGCTTGTCTTAGTCAGGGTTTCTATTCCTGCAAAAAGCATCGTGACCAAGAAGCAAGTTGTAGAGGAAAAGGTTTATTCAGCTTACACTTCCACATTGCTG